GGTATTTCTGAGGAAATTCTATTTTTAAATAAATGCTACTTTAAATAAATGTTACTTCATTTTCAAATGACTGCTCAATCAACATGTATAAAAGTTGTGGATTTCTTTGCTTTTATGACAAAAGTGGTATTGTATTTTTAAACAGATCACTTTATTAGGTCAGAGAGGGTACAGTTCCAAGTGTAATTATTTATTGTTTAGTTGTATATTTATAAACATTTTAGTTTTGAACCATTAGATATTTATGTAATTTAAGTATGAAAGTTTAAAAATGGTTCCTATAATAATAGATATATGATAAAACGTCATGATAAAAGACAACCAAAGAAATATTACTTGATCCTACTTAGAAAGAATAATTTTCCAGGGGAACTTTACTCGGTTTTAGAGAGAAATCCAAGAATAAAGCTCTTCTTTCATTTTTCAACATGATACAACCAGATAATTTGGAAAACTAGTAAATATAACCTATAGTAAAATGGTCAGGAAAAATACTCATTTCCATTTATGATAACTGAAGTGACAAAAAGACTCCTAGAAGTTACATTTTCCCTTTGTGATATATTAAAGAACAATGAATATACTAAACTTTAAGGACTTTTTTGTGAATATAAAGGATAATGGATCAGATTTAAGTTTCTTTCTATAACCACTTCTAATTCTATTCACGTGATCTGTTTAAAAATTGCTTATTACAACGTATTTAAATGTAGTAGTCATTTTGAAACATTTTAGTTCCCCAAGATACAGAAATATACAAAAAACATACATGTTTGAGACCCATAATTCAGTTTCTCCCTAAAAGGCATTTCATCATCCAATCTTCTGGCATTCTTTAAACGAGACACTAGACCCTTTTCATCTAGATATTGCATGTTTCATATATTATACATACATACATGTATGTGTATGCGTGTATTTTTAAAATCATTATTTGTAGTAACATATCAAAAAGGAATTTCTAATATTCCAAGGTTCTAATGTTAGGATAGAAACATATTCACAATAGTGTTTATCAGTTTCATGTATTTAGAGTAGTTTCACACTAAAATAAGTGATTAGGCTGGGTACGGTGGCTCATCCCTCTAATCCTCGCACTTTGGGAGGCCAAGGCAGGAGACTTGCTCGAGCCCAGGAGTTCCAGACCAGCCTGGGGAACATAGTGAGACCCTGTCGCTACAAAAAACCGTTTTTTAAAAAAATTAGCTCCTCACGGTAACGCGTGCACCTGTAATTCCAGCTACAGGGGAAACTGAGGTGGGAGTATGACTTGAGCCGAGGAGTTAGAGGCTTCAGTGAGCCATGGTGGCACCACTGCACTCTATCCTGGGTGACAGAGTGAGATCCTGTCGCAAAATAAAATTAGTGATTAGGACAAAAAAGATATAGGGCAAAATAAATAGAATGCTTACCCACCTCAAATAAAAAGAACACACTATTTGTTAATATGAAGGTGATACTGGATAAGTGAAATGCCTAGGACTTTTTTCTTAAATAATTTAGTATATTTTATGTGAATAAGGGACTATAAAGTAGGGAGATCAGCAGGACTGTAAAAGTGGGTGGGGGAGAAGAAAGTTTGCTAGTCAAACTTGATTTAATTTGACTGCCTTTTTAATAGCATGTGGCTGAATGTTTTGATCTATTTGTAATAAATATTTTAAGGATTTGCTAATTTTTGAAAATTGGCAAGAAATACTCATTTTTTCCTGTCTTGAGGTATGCCAAAAATAAAACTTGCTAGAATAAAAAAATTAAAATGAAGGAATGTCTTGTCTGTGCTAAAACACCTCCACTTAAAGAGTTTGATATCCACTAGAAAATGTTGTTTCTTTAAAAAGGGGACAAAGGGCATTTGATGTTCCTCACCTTTCACAGTTGTGACAATTCTCTTAGATATCTTAAATTCTCTAAGTGGAGATTTCTCATGTTCTTCACAGTACACCTGTTTTAAAAATTGTAGTCCACAGAAATCTGAAACTACAAAATAAACTTTTCTCAAGATGGTAAGTCACAAGGAGTGTACATTACAGTTAGTTCATTTGTGGGAGTTTTCCTATCACTTTTCAATTAATAAGACACCCTGGTTATAGGAATTTTAGTCTCACTGAAAAACTCAATTTTTCTATGCAAATTAAATTTGCATATGCAAGTTACAATTTGAGTTTAAGCTTAGGCCTACACTGGTGGAGGGATAACAGGCAATCTGGAATTTGGTACTTGACCATACTTAGTCAGTGCAAGAAAAACAACAAAAAAAACTTCAGAAACCTTCTTACCATTGACAGAAGCTAGTGTCGATATTCCTTGTGGTTTTCCCTTATTGACTGTATCTATATCATCACATAGCAAAATGTACACAACAGCAGAAAGTAGATCTTTTACTTATAGTTTCTGCAAAATCTGAATAAAGATAAAGTTTTTCTACTATAAAGACGTGGTCTTATAGATGTATGCATTCTGAGGATCAGGGAAAGGCAGTGAAATAAAACTCTAAATTGAACAAAATTCAAGTAGTTTATCTTTTAACAGAAATATCTCTATAAACTATATCGATATAAAGGTGAACAGGGGTTGGACACAGTGGCTGAAAGCCTGTAATTCCAGTGTTTTGGGAGGCCAAAATGGGAGGATGGCTTGAGAATAGTAGATGGAGACCAGCCTGGGCAACATGAAAGACCTCATTTCTACAAAAAAAAAAAAAAATTAGCCAGGTCTGTTCATGTGTGCCTGTAGTCCCTAGCTACTCGGGAGGCTAAGGCAGGAGGATTGGCTGAGCACAGGAGTTGGAGGCTGTAGTGAGCTATGACCATGCCACTGAACTTCAACCAGGGTGACACTGCGAAAACCCTGTCTCTAAAAAAATTAAAAATAAATAAAGGTCAACAGGAAGAATCAATAACTAAGACAGCAACTGGAATTGAAAAATTAATATCTATAAGCTTGAATCAACCAACGAGGATGGTTTTGTGCGTGTGTGTGTGTCTGTGTGTGTGTGTGAGAGAGAGAGAAAAATATATTGGTGAAGTAGTATTTTAATTCACCCACCAGCATTCTATTGGGTGGCCAAATTCATAGAGATATTTTATCAGAATCAGAAATTTCAGAATTTTAGAATCTATGCGTTAGCAAACTGTGTATTCATAGGTTCACAAGAGGTTCACAACCTCTTGTTCCTCATAAATCTTTCTAGGAGAAAAAAAAATACCAACATAGCTGTAGCCCCTAAGTCATGAAGTGCATCTAACTGGTTCACAAAATATTAAATATAAGGGGCTACAACTTTTCAATTAAAAATTTTTTATTATAAACATTAATTAAAAAACACTTATTTTAATAAAATTTATGAAATTCATCATTGCTTTCAAAGAAATAACACCCTTATCTGTTAGCTCTGTCGATCCAGGGATGAAGGTTCAGCTAGAAAAATAACTTTAACCCATTATTGGACTGGTCTTTATTAAAGGCAGAGATATAACCCTAACTATCTCCCACTCTTCTGATTATGTATTTGTATTAAATACCTGATTATTTATTTAAAATTTTATTTACTCAAACTATGGAAACATTATTCAATTCTTCCTTTGTTTGCAAAGAAAGATTTTCTGGTCAAAATAGTAAACATTAATTAACAGAGGCAAAGCAAAAATAACAAAGATCTCTGTAGATAATATTAACTTTTATTCAAATTTCACAGTTGTTAATAAATGTATATTCAAAAGGAATGTGTGGCTGGGTGCGGTGGCTCATGCTTGTAATCCCAGCACTTTGGGAGGCCAAGGAGGGCGAATCATGAGGTCAGGAGTTCGAGACCAGCCTGGACAACACAATGAAATCCCGTCTCGACTAAAAATACAAAAATTAGCTGGGCATGGTGGCGGGCGTCTGTAATCCCAGCTACTCGGGAGGCTGAGGCAGGAGAATCGCTTGAACCCGGGAGACGGGGGTTGCTGTTAGCCGAGATCGTACCACTGCACTCCAGCCTGGGTGACAGAGCTAGACTCAAAAAAAAAAAAAAAAAAAAAAAAGAAAGGAATGTGTGATGGATCTGGGCATTGATAAATCTATCACTAAGGTTCTATATTTATGGCATTTGATTAGCTATCCACATCACATTATAAGGATATCTACTTTTTCAAAGTATTTTGGTCTTTGCTTTTAGATTAATAAAAAACATAATAGTGGCTGGAGTATTTAAGGCACTCCCCTGGGACATGAAAAAAATAATAAAATTTAGGTTATCTGGCACTGCCCAAATAATTGTATACAGAAAATAAGAGAAAATTCATGTATGTTTGTGTTTATCTGCTCTTACTGTAGCTGTCCTAATCTTTAGTCTTTAAATAATGAAGCCAATATGGAAGGCTAAATAGGTGATTAATGCTCATCCTTTACTAGAAGTCTCTTTAAGCATATCTCATTTCCATATTGATCATAGTTATCTTTAGTAAAATTATAATTAATGTATAAGCTTTGTTTAATGGCTACAATTTCAGCTCATTTGTAATTAAAGTTTATCACAAATAACTTTTATAATTAAGTAACTTATAAAATCTCAGATTAAAGTAAATTATGTTACTTAGTCTCAACATTTTCTTGTAAAACATATTCTTCTTCTGTCTTTGCCTTATCTGTTCTTGGCACTAACTTCTTCAGTCATTCACACTTCAAAAGCTTTGGACTATTTCCTCTTCCTTAATACCCACATTCCAGATTAAACTTCAGACTTTTCTATCTTGCAATCTCTTTCTCTTCCAATCTTTCTTCCTACATCTTCCAGCTATTTATCAAAAACACTTAAAGAGCTACTTCTTTCATGAACCTCTTCTTAATTCCGTTACCTCAAAGTATTCACATTTCAAAGTATTCACATTCTTTGGTACTACCGTATCACTTTGCTCTATCCTTTGTCAGTTAGCTTATTTAGTGTAATATTTATCTTCTACAAATCTTGTATTATCTCCCTCACTACATAAACTTAACATGTGCTTTATACACAGAGGGTGTTTAAAAAGTACAGATCAACTGGATGGATGAATGGATGGAAGAGGATGGAATATCATAACAAAACACATTTTCCTTAAGTAAATTCATGCATACTCCAAATTAAATACAGAATGTGAAGTATCTCTGAACTGTGCTGTTGAATATGGTAGCTACTAGCTACATGTGAGTATCTAAATTTTAATTAATTAAATTAAATTAAGAATTTAATTCCTCAGTTGCACTAGCCACATTTCAAGTGGTTAACAGGCACAAGCGGCTACCATATTGGACCATGCAGATATTTTAATAAAATATGTTTATCATTGTGGAAAGTTCTATTGGATAGTACTGCTCTAGAAATTTTTGCTGGAGGAATGGATGAGAGAAACACTTCTATGGAATTCTAGGAAGATCATAATAACAAATAATAAGGCATAGGACTACCACTTCGCATAATAAAAAGTATAATTTATAGTCATTTACAATATAAGCTATTACCCCTCAAAGTTGGAAGATTTGTATTAGTATCATTATTATCACTTTTCATTTAATCCATATTTTTTGCAACATCAATAATAAAAAACTCAAAATATGATTTATGTAGGTAGGAAGATGTCATGTTTTCCATGTAAATATGCATTAAATGCTTTAACAAGTCTGGCTTAATTAGAATAAGAATACAACAGGCTGGGCTGGCTTTTCAAAAATGTTAATAGCTTATTCCCTGTTAAAGCTAAGAAATACCTTCCAGTATACCCTACCTCCAAAAGTATCGAGGATTTTTTGTTTTTTAATCCAAGAGAGATTCATGAGATCATAAAACACAATCTTTATGTTCTTTGCTTCCCTTTTTCCAAAATCCAAAATTATTCAGAAATATTTAAGCTTTTCTTGATTTGTAGCCAAAACAGCTAATTGGAGGATCCTGCCATATAATGATGGACCTCTGTCATGTGTTGTCTACTTGTTTAATTTAGATTTGTGGTTTCTTGAAATCCAGCTGAAAGTGTTTGACCCCTCATAGGAAAATCCTGTTGTGAGTAAGGATTCCACAGGTCACATACCAGAGAGGTTTTCCCTCAGCTGCTCTCAACTTTGTAATCTTGTGAAGAAGCTGACAAGCTTGGGTGAGACAGTGTTTTGCTAGCCTTACAGAATTAGAAATTCCCCCCTAAGAGAGTATGAATTGATAACAAGAGGCATTATAGCTAAGTTCAGGTTAATAACTGGAAAAAAAAAATGAAATTGGTATGTAGGTAATCAAGCATTTTTAGTGATGTATATTGTGTGATTACCATTCAAGGCAGGCATAACCATTTTCCTCAGAGTCAGGAAATAAATACCACTAGCCAATGGGGCTAGGATCACACCTTTTCCATATAAATAGAACTTTGAATCTATCCTGTTTACTGTTTGATAAGCCTATGCAGATTCCCAATTTTATGTGTTAGGTTTATAAAACTGTTATAATGATCCAAGGAATAATAGCAGTTGGTGGGAAGGGTGTTTTTCTTTAAGCTTTCATTAGCAGACAAATAAGGATGGCAGAGACTTCTTTTCAGTTTTAATTCAAAAAATATTTTGTGCCTACATTTCAGAATCCTGGATGATTTGCTGCTAACAGCACTCTGAGGTCCTGCCATGGAACCTCCTATCTAGTGCAGCATTTGGGTTATTGAAGCCCTATCTCTTCAGTGCATCTATTTCATTTAAGTTTAAACTGATTATAACATACTGGAGGCAAAGACCTTTTTCTTCCCCTCCCACTTTTTATCCCCCACTCAACAGCTGATTGCAGAACACTATGAAGACTCAACGACAGTGGGTTTTAATTCAGATATTTCAAGGTGAGTTTCATATATATTAAATACCATATACATCTCCTTTCCTCTGGGTCTTTTCAGGAGTAGTAATTTTATCTGAACTCCAATTTTTCATGTTTGAAGCTTTCATTGTCTTAAGAGATTGGTTTCGAGTTTAAAATGTTAACAGTGAGATTGGATGAGAGGAAGGGGAAGTCTATATTCCAGTATACTGATATCATGTAGGGAGAGATGTAAAACAACAACAACAAAAATCCCACAAATTATAGTAAGCGTAATTTACCTGGATTGACCTGGATGGCCACACATGCCATCAGTGGACTGACAATTTCTAAGAAATTGACAGTTTACTGATGGTAAACAATGAAGTTGTAAAGGCTTTTCTGGATCGTGCAAAGATGTCTTTAGGACCATGAGTTATCAGTGTACTGAAAAATTCCAGAAGTACCTGTTTTCAGAACAAATACTTGTGTATTCTACGAGCACCCTAGGTAGAGGGACTGTTCTTCCTCAGTTTTGCATTTCCAATGCCTGGTACACAGAATATATTTTACAAATAGACACCTAACTAACAAACAAGAAGAGTATTCTAATGAATAAATATACAGACTTTATTGCACTTGTAGGAGTATGATTTGATTTAATAAACTAATAGGCTATCCCCCCAAATCCCCATTTAGATGAATAAAAAATGTTTAGGATTCTATTTAATTAAACCAAATTTAGAAGTTATGTTCAGTTTCTTGCTTGGGAGGTTTTGATTTATTCAAAACTCATTTAAGTTTGTCCACTTAGTGATTAACGTGTACTCCAGTGCACCCCCACAACTTTGTCACAATACTCCAATAATGTAATACACTTAAAAATAATGTATTTAATTTATTTGTCGTAAATACTCATTCTCAGTTTCTCTTGTCCATGTGGCAGAATATACTGAAATATGTTCCCCTTGACATTGCTCAAAGAAGAAATCTCTTAAAAGTTCTAATCACTGTTAAATTTCTCAGACATTTTAAGCTTTAGGGAAGAAAAGATTTAAACAACTTTACATCATTCTTTTTCTTGTTCCCTTCTGTTGCCTCCATTACTCCTCTGTCACTTCCATCATTCTCTCCAAGTACATAAATCCACTGTTTATGGTGCCTGGGACCTCCCAGATCCGGTAAATCTTCCCACCCCCTCGCTCTACCTTTCATTCCTTCAAGTTTTCCGTTTATTGAAGTCATTCTCAGTTCCGTTAGTTTCCCCAGATTTCTCCCTGTTCTCTTTGAGTGTCTATAATTTTTCCAAGTCTCTACCCAGTTTTTAAGTTCTCCGTCTTCATTGTCACCACAGTTTTCCCCAGTTAAGTTTTCATAACAACTTGTTGCTCAGACTCTATGAGTACTTCTTATTTTGTTAGTTTGTCCGAAGGCTCAAAATCATTCTTTACCTCTCAATCATCCCTTTTCTCTCTTTAATACCTTCATTCTTTCCAAGTTTTCTCTGCAGTCTTTTCCATATCCTCTACTCCTACCAGTTTCCCCTTGTGCCTCACAGTTCTTCCCAAATTATTCAAGTCCCTTGCACGTAGTTGGAATATAACTCATCACATTATTTCTATATTTAGAAACAGCTTAAATTTACAAACTGCCATGAATAAAACAGTCTGTAGTTTAATCATTGACAGTTTAATATAATCTTGTTCTTGATTGCAGCTTTATATATACACCACATTTTATAGACCTGATATTTGTACCAGGCTTGGTTTTAAGAGAACTTGAGATAGTAGAGGGGAGTTACAAAAAATTAACATTCAGATAGTAAAGCCAAATTAAACTAAGGTGAAAATTTTTTATTCAACAAAACATTCAGTCTATTCAGTTCCAAACAATATTCTGTGTACTTTTTAAGGAGTGGAAGAAAAATAGAAGAGCAATGGAATATACTAATTGAATATTGATGAGATTTGTTTCCATTTTAAAGTTAAAAAAACAAAACTCATTGCTTTAAGACTTTTTTTCTTGCTGACTGCCATCACTCAGTTGTTATATTTTAACCACAAATCCCTTAAGCACTTACATTTAACCTTATCCTTACTCTTATGCTTATTCAGATTTTCCCCATGTGATGCTAATCTGAAAATTTCTTAGAGGAAATGAGTTTTAAATTGCTCTCAAGCAGATGATGACCTTTGATGATCAGAGAAGATGTGGAAAATATTATAGCTAGAGAGTAGATCTTGGATTGGCTGAAGAGGAGAGGTCATGGATTATAAATTAAAGAGAAATACATTTCTTAGAAGCAGCTAACTGAGGACCTTGAATGCTAGGACTCAGAGTTTGGATTCTATAGATTTCGAAACGTAATAAACATAGTTTTTTTGCTTTCAGTTTTTGTTGTTGTTTTGGTTTGGTTGTTATTTATAATGATTATCAAAATAATGAATACTTATTATTCAACACCATAAAAACATGGAAGTAGACCACAAAAAGGTACTGGTTGGAAAGATAATATATTTGGAAATATTTTGTTTTTAAAAAAACTTTTCTTCTGAATAAAAAAAAAAAAGAGAGGAGCAACAGTCCTTACGTCAAATGTCTCTTTAACAGTTCCACTTGAAAATTAGCAGCTGTACTTAGTGAAAAATTATGAAGTTGCAATGTTGTCAGTTGTAACAGGTTTTAATTATTTTTTTTATTTTAAAGTGATCAAATTTAGAGATGTCAAATTTTTATTATTTTCAGCACAAAATCATGATGACATAGTTCACATATTTTAGTTGCAAATACTGTTTCAAAATGCACTTGATTTTGTGAGGTGTTTGCTTTAATATTTTCAACACAGTGCTGGATTACAGGGTTTCAAGATATATTACATGTATCCAATTAAAATGACTCCCCACTTTCCCTAATTTATACTTGTTCTTTAAAAATTTAAATATTACTTAAAATCATCTAATAAGTCAACATGTTCCCTGTTTTATCAAAAACATTCATTGTGCAGTTTAAGCATTTGAAAACCAATCATAATAATATTTAAAGATAAATGTCATTGGGATGTCTTTCTTGAAAATGTTATGAAGGGTTATAAAATTTTGAAAGAAAATTTTATTACCAAAATATTACCAAACACACCTTGAAAGTCGAATATAATCGTTAACATACTCTTTTAAAATAAGCTTTTTAATCTAAATTACATGAAAAAAAATTGTTGCCAAGCTGGGAACAATTATAGAATCACTAACTACCTAAAACAGAGCACACAGTCTTTAAACCTTATAAACATAATTTTAAATCTGAAAATTATATGAAATATGCATTTGATGAAAAGACATTTTGACTTCGCATGTGGAATTGTGATGTAAAATCTTTTAAAGCTGTAGCATTGCTCATAATTGAGATCCATTATGCAAATGATTATGTATTTATGATTAAACCTTCTTTCAATCACAGATGGCTAGAACAAGAAAAGATCCTAGAGATAAATCTCAACGCTACTCACCCTCAATGAGTAAAATGAGGCACAGAATGACTAAATGACTTGTCCAAAGTCAGAGCTACCTAAAGGCATAGTTAATATTAGAATTCAAGTCCATTTAGTTTTTCCCACAGGATTAGACTTGTCTTTGTGAGTGCAGGATATACAAATACCTTTGTTTATGTTATCTTTTTTTAGTTTATAATAACAGTATCAACAATTACAAACACACGTAACATTAATGTTCCAGGAACTGTTCTAAGTACTTTACATATATTAACTCATTTAGTGTATACAATAACACTGTAAGGTAGATAAAATTGTTAACTGTTTTTCACAAAGATGCAGAGAATTTAAATAACTTGCATAAAGTCACACAGCTAGTGAGTGGTGGATCTTGGATTTATTATAAAACAAGACAGTCCAGCTCCATAGCTCATGCTAGGACATCTTTAAAAAAATTAAATTTCTTATTGCCAGGATAGTTTATATTTGGATATAATAACATTTTATGACTTTACTTTTTCAGTAGGGTATAAAACATTTCTTAGTATTGGAAATGAATAATTGTCTCAATTTCCATAACATATACATTTTGCAATAGCTTTAAATGAATGGTCTTGCTACAATGGATGTGAAGCCCTGAATGAATGGTTTGTCTGAAATCATCAATATTGTTCATTAAGACAGTTGCAAAAAAATGGAGTCTTTCAGTTCATTCTGTGTACGAAAAAATTTTTCATTTATTTTTAAAACTAGAAAATCAAACAGAAAGTATATTTAAATAATGTCTCTATGAAACGTCTTCTTCTGTGAGAATGGTAAAATGAACTATCAACGAATTATTTTTTCATATACTTGGTAATGACTATGTGAACAAAATTGATTTTGCATTTTCTCATTAATGTGACATACAACACAGAAATAAAAGTCCTATTTTTTCTAGCTTGTTTTAGTCTGTGGACTTAATTGCTAGTTTGAAAGTAATATTAGGTAACATTTTACTCTGTAAGAAAGAGCATATTTTGACATGTTGACATGTTAATATATTGACACATGGGAAAGGAATAAGTAAATGTAAATGAAAACTAATTAAGCAACATTATATAGTGGATATGGGAAAGGTAAAAAATATCCCAGCACTTTGGGAGGCTGAGGTTGGTGGATCACCTGAGGTCAGGAGTTTGAGACCAACCTGGCCAACATGGTGAAACCCCGTCTCTACCAAAAATGCAAAAATTAGCCGGGCCTGGTGGTGGGTGCCTGTAATCCCAGCTACTTCAGAGGCTGAGGCAGGAGAATCACTTGAACCCGGGAGGCGGAGGTTGCAGTGAGCCGAGATTCCGCCACTGCACTCCAGCCTGGGCAATAGAGCGAGACTCAGTCTCAAAAAAATAAAAAATAAAAATAAAAAATAAAAAAAAAATCCCAAATATGCAAAATGCATATATAAGTTTGTTTTGTGTATAATTATGTAATAAATTCTGAAAATCATCATATAAAATTAAAAATATTAGAATATAAAATCTTCCATACATTGCCCCAATTTGTTCATTCCTGTTCAA